GGCTCCTTGTGCTCAAGTTCTTTCCTCCTGACTTCCCATCTTTTCCTAGATGACTGAATACCCACAAGCTTCCATTTTTGAAGCTATTAAGGATTAGTTAGCTGTATCTTCCTTTTTAAAGATGTCTTCACCTGTGACATACCTGTTTCCAGACAAAGCCTGGAAGATAGGCCTAGACTGGAGCCAGGAGCTTGGACACGTGTGGAATGGGGCTGTCGTTCCTGGGACGTCACAGCTGGGGATTTAGGCTGGGGCCACTTTTCTGGATAGCCAGGACCCCAAGTGATTTAGCTTTAGGGCGGTCAGTGCTGACTGAGAGCCCACTACTGACGACCCTCTGACCGGGCTGTTCCCTCAGGTCCCCGGCTATCTGGAGGCCACAGCCTTCACGAAACATCCACGGTTCTGGTAGAGACTGTGACCAAGTCATCCTCAAGCCGGGGCTCCAGCTACAGCTCCATCCCCAAGTTCTCCTCAGACGCCAGCAAAGTGGTGACGCGGGGCCCCGGGCTGTCCCAGGCCTTCGTAGGTCAGAAGAACTCCTTCACCGTGGACTGCAGCAAAGCAGGCAGGCTCCCGTGGAGAAGAGGAGGGAGGGCTGAAGGGTGGGAGCCAGGGCTGCTGGGAGCATGTGGCACTTGGAGTGAACCCATCCCACTTGCCTCCCTCTCTAGGTACCAACATGATGATGGTAGGCGTGCATGGACCCAAGACGCCCTGTGAGGAAGTATATGTGAAGCATTTGGGCAATCGAGTATACAACGTCACCTACACCGTCAAGGAGAAAGGGGACTACATTCTCATTGTCAAGTGGGGTGATGAAAGTGTCCCTGGAAGCCCCTTCAAAGTCAACGTGCCCTGAATCCAAAAGTACCTCCCCCAGCCTCAGCCTCCACCTCCAACCACTCACACTCACACAAACCCGGATGTTTCATACCCGGGCACACACGCGCAGTCAGACACCACAAATGCCTGCCTGGGGTGGGAGGCCAATGGCGCACCTCCCCTTTCATTGTGCCTGAAGTGTCAGAGGGCCTTGTGTGTCCCAGGGCAGTGGCCCTCCCCTCAACTAGGCCCTGAGGGCCAACTGGGGCTAGGCCCAGGGACAGAGGCTGGGACATAAGGCTGGGCCCCGAGTTTTCTGTGGGGTTGAGGCCAGTGGGGGCCTGTGTGTGTTGGGGAGGGGGTCCTGTGTGTGTGAGAGAGACCACCTCAACCCATACTACCCATCAGGCCCCCGGCCCTAAGAACAGTGCCTGACCCCTCTGGCGCCCCCACCCCCAGAGCATTCAGGACTTGAGAAGAAAGCGCAATAGGTGGAGACAACAGACGGAGCAGCAGCGTGCATCAGGATGGTGGGGTGATCCCCCACCCAGGCCAGGCTTTCTGGGGGACTGAGTTCTCTCTAGTCCTTTTTTTTTTTTTTTTTTTACGGTTGCACAGCTCTGCCCCATGGGGGCCTTTTGTACACACTGCAAGGCCCAGCTTTCTGGGGGGACTTTTGCACGTGTCATGCGGCTCAGCCGGGAACCGCGTAGGTGGAAAACTCCAGACCCAAATAAAGTTTGTGGCCAATCAATCACAGAGGCTATGATTGTTTCTTGGGGGTAGCCTTTTCATGGCTGGCTCCTCCTCACCAGTGGGTACCAAATCAGGCCCTGGGAGGCTGAGACCAACTGGTTGTACCCCAGAGGACTGACCTGAACCAAGGGAAAGGTCCTGGGACAGAGGGCCACCACTCTGGGCCATCTATTTGACAAGTTCTGAGACATTGGTGGAACTGTAGGATAAGCACTGCTATCCACGAGGTTGATGATTGAAATCCACCAGGAGCTCTGTGGAAGATGAAGATGGCTGCTCCGGTATAGTCTCAGAAACCTACATGGGGCAACTGTGAGTCAGAATCACTTGCTGGCAGTGGGTTCGGAACATTGGTGGAACTCAAGGGGACTCAGGAATACAGGCTCAGTCCTCAAGAGGGCTGTCTGGTAGAAGACAGGTGGACACGGTGTTCTAGAAGACTGCCCTAACCACTGGCGGTCCATTTCAGTTGTTTTGAAATTAGGACTTCAATACAGTGAGCCACCGACTCCATTAGGAAGGCCCCATACAAACCCAGAAGCCTTTACTCCAGCCAGTTCCTGGGTCAAACCTAGGTCTGCGTTTAGCCACCCTCTCTAGCTCTGACCAAGACTTGCTCAGGGCTCCTTCCTGAGTGCCTGAATCAGCCTCCAAACCAGTCTTCTGGTCCAACCTGCTCCTTCCAGCCTTGGCTGCTGCCAGAGAGAAGTCCATACCGGCTGGGTTGTGCCCCTTTCTGGGTTAGGGCCCTTCTGTGACTCCTGCTGGCTCCAGGTGGAAGTTGACTCCCTATAAGACCTCTCAGATCCACCAGTCTCCAGCCTCCCCCACCCATTTATTCCAGAACCCCTGTGTGCCTACTCACCCTTCCACCTCCAACTTTGTGGCCTCTAGTTTCCTGGGCACCCAGGATGCAGTTTGGACCCTCTTCCTGGAAACATCATTACATCCCCCCACCCCCACCCTCCTCCTCCTCCTCTTTCTGAACAACAGAAAGCTGTCCTGGGCCCATCCCTGCCCCTCCTGGAATAGCCCCCTCAGCTCCCATACTTCTCTAGGTCACATCCTGGTCTGTGACCAAGTATCCACCGGTTGGTCTCCCCTACCAGACTATGAGCTCCCTGGCTCTGGGGGGGTGGGGGTGTATCACAAATGAATAGACCAGTGGGTAACTGAGTAGCCAGAACAGGGCAAAGAAGCATTTCACACAATCATCCCACTGCACCCCCACCCCACCAAATTAAGACTAGCCCAAACATTCAGCACATAATGCTGGGTCTGAGAGAGAAGATACCAAGTACAAATGCCTCCAGCTCCTCCCTCCTCCCTCCTCACCTCTTCACACAGTAACACATCCACCTCCTCATTCCTTTAGAAGTTTCTTTCTTTCCACCTCCAAGTAAGAGGTACCTCCTCACTGTGTGTTCTGGATCCCACTCCTTCCGGAGTCCTCCAGGACTATGACCCCCGCCCATGACGTTTGCACGTCCTCAGTCCTTCAGGGAGCTCCTTGAGGAACGATGTTTTATCAATCTTGTGTCCCCAGCCCCTTGTCATGGGTACACTGGGGGAATGGATAAATGCTGGTTGAACGGAGTGAGCAGGGATGACTGTGTACTACCCTAGATCCTTCCTTTGTGACAAACCCACCAAAGGCGGCCTCAGAGGCCTGTTCTGGGTCAGGTACTGAGCCACGTGTTTGTACACACGCCCTTTCTCATGATCTGGTCACTTGCTGCCCTCTCAGATATGAGGGTTTGCTCTCCACTGGCTGACTTCCTCCAGTTTGCTCCTCAATTGATTCTAGTCACTCTAACCCAACCACAGGTGCACCCTGTGCAGAGAATCCTCACAACAGTCCTGTGTGGTGGGCATATTATTATCTGTGGAAAGCAAGACTTTCAGGGATGAGTCCAAAATTACACCTCTGAGATCTGATCCCAGGTGTGTTCAAATCCCAAGGCCTAGCCCTTAAATATAACCACTAGACCAGACTCTGGAGGCCTGGTGTGACAAGGGTTAATGAGCTGGGCTGCAGAGTCAGTTTGAACTGCAAGGTGGACGGTTCAAACTCACCAGCCGCTCCTCAGAAACCCTACACAGGGTCACTATGAGTCAGAACTGACTTGAAGGCACTTAACAACAACAGACCATATACTCCCTATACTCCAAACTCCTAAATGACATGCCAGACACCAGGGGTGAGGGAAAAGTAGATGTTTCCCTTCAACCTGTTCCTCTCACAGCCACTTTCTGACAGTGTTACTCCCATGCATAGACCGTCAGAAACCAACCGTCTGCCATCCCTTCCCAAACGCATCCAATCCCAAAATCAGTTTTGCCCATTCTGTCTCTAAAATTGCTCAACTCCTTCCACGGCTCCACATTTCCTGTTGCCACTCCCTCCCTGAGTTCCAGCCACCACCATCTCTCTACGGTGGTACCTGCAACTTGTCTCTCCTCCTTTAGCCTAGACTTCGCACCTAACGCAGTCACTGTTGTTGTTGTTGTTAAGTGCCGTCGAGTCGGTTCCGACCCATAGCGACCCTGTACAGGATTTCCGAGGGTGTAAATCTTTACGGGAGTAGAAAGCCTCATCTTTCTCCCGTGGAGCGGCTGGTAGTTTCGAACCGCTGACCTTAAGGTTCACAGCCCGATTCGTGGAGGTTCAAGTCCACCCAAAGGCGATATTGATGATGGTAGTGAGCCATGGAGTTGGTTCCGACTCATAGCGAGTCTGTATAGGGTTCCCGAGGCTTTAGAGGAATAGAAAACCTCATCTTTCTCCTGAGAAGCCGCTGGAAGATTCTAACTGCTGACCTTGTGATTAGCAGCCCAACTCTCAAGCCACAACGCTACCAGGGCGATATTACCTTATCGATTACAATTCTTCAATTGGCTTACCATTTAATTGCCTGTTCATTTGGCTTTATCTCAGGCAACCATATCATTATTAACTTGTCCATTCTTTTATTAATTGAACAAATAGGTATTGAATAACTTAATTATGTGCCAGGCACGATATAGACCTCGACCTTATCCTTGAGAATAGGAATTTTGTGTAATTCTTTGTGGTGTCATTATTCAACAATGCTAGGTTCAATACGTTTGTTGAAAGAACAAGTGAACCAGAGACTATCCGGAAAAACACGAACGAGTAACTCCACAGTGAGAGTTCGGGTGCACGGCCTTCTGGGATTCGTAGTTCCTTGGTTACGGCCGTTCTCTTTATGGCGCAGGCGTATTCAGAGGGACTTCTCCATCACTACCACCCTCTTTACTATTAATGCGCAAGCTCCGTAAGGCGGGGTAGAAGAACTGCGCATGTCTAGAGGGTGGAGGTGAGACTGAAAACGCCTGCGGAGGCGGGGCTTCAGTTACTTCGGAAAGACCTGGGTTGAGCTCCGCCGGTTGTGAGGATGGCAGGACGCGGAAAGCTCATCGCGGTGATCGGAGACGAGGATACGGTGACTGGCTTCCTGCTAGGGGGCATAGGGGAGCTTAACAAGAACCGTCACCCGAATTTCCTGGTGGTGGAAAAGGATACAACCATCAATGAGATCGAAGACACTTTCCGGTACGGTGGCTGGCGAGGCCTGGACAGGCCCTTCTGCTACCTGGAGGGCGTGGGGAAGGGGTGGAGTGGCGAAGGGTTCGACTGGAGCCAGCGCTGGGTTTTGCAGACGTGGCCGAAGTGTCAAGACTCCCCACTTTCGGGGGTCCCGGAAGTCTGAGCGCCCTTTCGAAGCGAAGGCCTCCGTCCTGCCGTCGCTCTAGGTTCCCGTTTGGGGCTCGGTGGGGCCGGGGCTGTGTCAGGTGCACGAGTTCGCCCCTCATGTGACAGTGAGTCAAGAAAGGAGGGAAGCTGAGCTCGTGACGGGCGCCGGGTGCCGCTCCTTGTCCCAGCCTGTCTCTGCCTTGGCTGGGCGTCTGGAGCGCTCAGCCCCCAAAGGCCCTGCCTCAGCTCCTCTTCCCCACGGTCAGGTCATCGGAGAGCAGGCACCTAACTTTGCAAGCATTCGGCTCTTTTGTGAGTTGGCCCCAAAGGAAGCACACACTGTGTCGTCTAGGCAGTGTGCTCGGCCTTTCTTGTGCTTTCATATCCATTGTTAAGCGCCGTCCAGTTGCTTAACAACAACAAAGTGGAGAAAGGTAGAGTTCAGAGAGGGACATACCCCAAATAGAAAGAGGCAGAGCTGGGATTTGAACCTAATCCCAACCCTCCCTCCCTTTTTTAAGAGGGGGGTTGTGCCGCTGTCTGCGACTACCTTGGGAATTTCCCGTTCGTCTTGATCATCTTCCTCAGATTATCAGGACTCTACCTGCCCTACTGCTGAGACCTTCAGCAGCTCTTGTACTTGAAGCCCTGACTTCCTGCCTGGGTGGAAGGTGGTGATTTAAGGTGTAGGGGTGAACAGGTGTCCTGGTGACTGGAATTGAGGGTGCCAGCCTTGTATTCTGCCCCTCATCCCTTTTCTTAGAGCCCCTGGGCCAAATCTCAGGAATAAACCACGCCTAGCTGTTTTCTCCTAAACAGCCCAGCCCAGAGCTTTGGCTGAGACTGGTTCCTTCTGCCTGGGGTCTGTCAGACTCTGACAGGGGACAGTGCTGCCTGCTAACGTCTGGGCAGTTTGATCAAGTGACTCAACTTCTTATGGAGGACAAACTACTACTTAGAATTTTCCATGTTTCCAATCAATCAGGATCTTAGAAACCACCAAGTCTGTCCAGTGCCTGGTGTGTTACTGAATGGGTGAATGAAATCATGGATGGTGGAGAATCTCAGTGTCAGGCTGAATCTGTGTGGAAAAGATGATTTCCCACCTATGTCTTCTTCCACCCCCAGAGAGGGCCACTTTGTTTCTTACCTTTCCAGTATTTTTCATGTAAATACAAGGGAAAACACATCTATATTCTTAACCACCCCCTTTCTTACACAAGTTGTCCCCTAGCCAACAGCTAACATGCTTGCCTGCTAACCAGAAGCTTGAGAATCAAGCTTACCCAGAGTCGCCTTAGCAGTCTACTTAAGAAATTCAGCCATTGAAAACCCTGTGGAGCATCATTTCTACTCTGGCACATGTGGGGTTGCCAGGAGTCACATGAACTTGATAGCAACTCATTATCATACACAAGGCAGCACATTGTATACACACACTCTGGTCTTCATTACCAGTTACTGGGAGCCTTCCCAGCAGGGCAGTAGAAGGCAACGCCGACAGACATGGCCCTCAACTTCTGGAGTGCATTGACTTGGTAGAATTGAGTGAATGTTTGACACCAATTCTTTCTACAGCCCAGCCTCATTACCCAGAAAGGGCTGCATGGGCAGCAGAGTGGCCCTTGAGCTGCCCTGGACATCTTTTTGTCATCTCTCCCTATAGGCAGTTTCTAAACCGAGATGACGTTGGCATCATCCTCATCAACCAGTACATCGCCGAGATGGTGCGGCATGCACTGGATGCCCATCAGCGCTCCATCCCTGCCGTCCTGGAGATCCCATCCAAGGAGCACCCCTACGATGCTGCCAAGGACTCCATCCTGCGCAGGGCTAGGGGCATGTTCAACGCCGAAGACCTGCGCTAGGGCTGCCCCCATCTTCCAGCCCCACCCCCACGTCTGGACCTCTCCCCAGTTTGGTCATCGCCCGTCTGTGCGTTCTGAGCCTCTGATTTCCCACTTCTTGCTTGGTCCTACTCCAGAGAAGCTGGGTGTCTGGCATTAAAACCAAGGCTGGTAAGAGGAAGCAGGTGGCCTGACCATCTTTCTTCCCCTGCACTACCTCCTCCCTGTGCTGTTATGAAGTGTCATCGTTGATGTTAAATTAAAGTAATATTCTTGTTCTCTCTCTAAGCTGTGGGCTGGTGCTAAGAAGGCCACGTCAGGGTTGTTGGGAGAGATTAGACTGGCAGGGCTGGAAAAGGTTCTGCTAAAGACCCAAGCATGGTAGCACTGGGCCAGGAAGTCATAACTCCAGGACTGGTCCTCTGAATCCAAGACTGGCTTTGTGGGAAGGATGGAGGAGACATAAAGCCCGCTGCCTCGACTTGAGATTGCAATGGGCTGGGCTGGGGGTCTGGTGAAAATATAGCACACCTCACAGACTGAGCCTGGGCCTGCAAGAAGTCTGGGGAGTCAGGACTCTTCTGCCCATGTGCACTGGCATGAGGCTACCTCAGGAAACAGGCCAGGTGTGCTCTGCTGAGGGCATGGAAAGTTGAACAGTGACCCTGTGTGAGGTGAGGCTTGGTTGCCAGGTGACTGTCCCTGGGCAGCCACCCCGGCTGTCAGAAGGAAAGCCTCCATTGACTCTGCTGGCCCCTGGTACTGCTGCTTCCTGGCCATCATGTCACGCCAACTCAACATGGACACACTGCGCCAAAACTTCTGGAAGGAGGAGTACCTGAGGGAGACGATGTTGCGTTGTAACTGGTACCACAAATATGGGTCACTGGTGAAGGCCAGGCAGAAGGCGAAGGCTGCTGCCCGCCTACCCCTCAAACTGCCCACCCTGCAGCCCCAAGCCCCACTCTTACCCCCACCTGTCCCAAAAGAAGTCCCTTCCAAGGCCTGCAGCCCTGTCCAGGAGACTCCTTTCCAGGCAGAAATGTGCCCAGTACCGCTTGCTACCCGGGCCCTGCTGTATGAAGGCATCTCCCACGACTTACAGGGGCGCTACCGCTACCTCAACACCCGAAAACTGGACTTGCCCGAGAAGCGCTACCTCTTTCCCATCACCACCAACTTCGCATATGGCTGGCAGCTGGGTGAGCCCCAACATTCAGAAATTACACATCTACTAAACACTGAACACTTAGCATGGGCCAGACGGTGCTCAGTATGAGGCAATGAAATGTGGCCTGGACATTCTGTGAAGGGGCCAGACCACAGACAGCAAGGGCCAAACCCCATGATGACATGAGGGAGTGACTGGGTAGACGTCTAGATTGGGTTGAGGAGAGGTGTTCAGGCTGACCCACATAATAAGGTGCTTAGATTTGATTCTCGGGGGGTGGGGGTGCTGGAGGAGGGTTTTATGCAGGTGAGTGATACCGGTCTTCTGGCTGGTCTGTGGTGGTGGTGATTATGTGCCATGGAGTGTAGATAATGGATATTTCAGGGGAATGAGGAGAAGCTGCCAGAGAAGTCACTTCTGAAGATGGCTAGGATTAGGGCACGAGCACACGAAGTGAGAGAAATGGAATCAGTATGTTTGCGGGGGGCGGGAAGGGATCAGTGCAACTGATGTGTATTCAATGTGCGAAGAAGTGAAAAGATCAGTGATGACACCCAGGTTCTGGGCTGGAACAGCAGTGCTGGGGAAAACTGGGAGAGAAGCAAGGTTGGAGGGTATGGGACTGGTACGTTTGGGCCACGGTAAGTCAGGCTGTGGACACTAGATGTAAATTCTGAGGTCAACAGAATATAAAACAGCAAAACCAGATACCCTTGGGTTGCCTGTTACTCATAGTGACCTCATGCACATTGGAGTAGAACAGTGCTCCATAGGTTTTCAGTGGCTTGTTTTTCAGCAGCTCACCAGGTCTCCTGAGGTGCCTTTGGGTGGACTTGAGTCTCCACTTGGTTAGCAGTCAAGTGCATTAACTGTTAGTACCACCCAGGGCCTCCCATTAAAATACATGAGAGTGAGTGGAACTACCTCTGGAACACAAGTTACTGGAAGTGGGGGGAGGGGGGCAGGGAGCTGGTGTTTGTGGGAAGACTGGCCCTCTGCCTTTGTGAGGTTAGTCTAGGGCATCAGCTGGGAGAGAGGAGCGGGCCTTGAAGCAGTTAGAGATGAAGAGTAAAAACTTGGGGAGAGCCTGGGTGGCCGCCTGGTGTGCAGTGCCTCTTGGTTCCCTGTGGTCCTAAGTTTAAAGTGAGACCACTAGTCTTTCTCCAGCTGTTTGAGTTGCAGATGCAGAAAGGGTGGATGGATGGTCAGGAGTAACTACAGCTGAGGTTTTGCCGAAGTTCCCCATTCTCCCCAGGGTTTTAATGGGGAAATAAAAGAGCAGCTTTCTAATAAGAGCAGTAGGTGAGCCCCACAAAGGGAGCAGGAAGTCCCATTCCCAGACAATCCTAGCTGTTTCCAGAAGGGCTGGTCCCCCTAGACAGATGACCCAGGGACTGAGGGTGGGGGTTGCTGGTAGTGGGTGGCTGACTATGATTCCTTCATAGACCGCTTGCTACATGCTGGTGCCTGGTTAGCTCCCAGTATTTTCACAAAGTCCTCTCGGAAACATCTCTTTACTTCTTCACACTTCACAGGCAGGGTACTAGGGCTATGCACACAGCCAGGGCCCCCTCTTCGGCCACCCTTTCCCAGGAACCCACTCCTTTTCTTCCCAGGCCCCCCAGTGAAGCAAGAACTGGTCTCCTGCAAAGTGTGCCGCATCGAGTCCTTCTTCCGAAAGAACGGCGCCTTCGCACTGCTGGACTCCCGCGACCTGGCCCTCTGACCTTGGGCCGGGGAGGGAAGATGAAATAACAAACTTGCTGAGGCGAAGCCATTGTGTCTGTGTGTCAGTTCTTGGGTCCTGAGGTGGCAGAAATTCCCTCCCACCTGCACTCGCTGACTTGCAGGTGGCCCCCTCACTCCACCCCCGCCCCCACTCCTCAATCACCCCCTGGAGGATCCAGCAACGACCAGAGTCCAGCGGAGGGTGAGCCCCTCTCTCCAGAAGCCGGCTCCTCGGCGCCAGGGGAGCACAGTAGCTCCTGGAAGTTCTGGGTGTTCCTGGGGGGAGAGTGGTCTGTCACAGCAGATGCCAAAGAGCGGGTCGCCCCTCACCGCCTCTTCCTGATGACTCCTCACCTGGCCCCGAAGGCCCGTAGCCTCCCAGTCCTCTCCCTGTGCACCTGCAGCAGCTGTTCCCGCAGCGCGCGCCGCTGTCCTGCAGCGTCCTCCTGGGCGGAGCCGAGCACTGAGCGCCTCCTCCCACTTCTGGGGTGGCCCTCCTCCGGAGGTGTCTTTGCACGAGGGTGGGCACGGACTTCCAAGAAACCCTGAGCCACGCCAAGCTCGCCCTCACCCCCTGTCCCGGACAGGATGGTAGTGGTCCCCCCGGGGGCTTGCCTGTGACGGGAACTGAGCAGGGCTGAAGGGTGGTCCCAGGGGGTGAACCCGGTATTGGCGGTTCCTGGCGAAGTTGAGACGTTCCAGGACCTGGGCGGGCACGGGGCGTCGACGATCAGCGGGCCCACCCCCAGTACCGCCCACCAGTTCAGCCCCGGGCCTAACGCTGTGGCGCACCCGGAGCCGCTGCAGCTCTTGCTCCTGGCGTAGCCGTCTCCGGGCCACGCTGTGCAGCTCCATCAGCCGCTGCAGTGCGGTCTCCCTCTGCACCTTGCTCACACCCGCCGCCGCTGCCGCCTCGCTGCCCTGGGGCTCGGACCACAGGGCCTTCGAGGGCTTGGGGTCCTGGGCCGCATCCCACAGCTCCCCGAAGGTGCCTGGGGGCCCCGCGGCACCGCCTGTCGTCAGGACTCTCACCTCACCCACTTCGCGTTCCGCTGTGCCAGGGCCTCTTTCCAGGGCCTGCAGCCCGAGCGAACCGCGTCTCAATCTTGGAGCCCCGGGACATGGGGCAGGGGGCTTCTGCTGCCCGTAGTCCCCGGTGCTGGGCACCTCCAGCATCGCCGCGCCTGGGAGCCGAGACCGTGCCGCGGGTCCCAGCAGATGGGGTGCCCTTGACTTTCCCACGGCTGGAACCGGCTCTTGGCTTTGACGATTGGTCTTTCTCCTTGGGCCTCGCCTCTCCCTTTCCCCAGGCTGGGGGATCTGCTCTCCCCGAAACCCGCAGACTTTCCTCGGGGAGCCCAAGGAGTCCCCCCAGAGCTGTGTGGGCGCTTCCCCCATGGCCACGTCCCAGGCCCATGGGACACTGCCTTCCGAAGACGGAGGGATTTTCGGTTCCTGACCCTGAGGGGCCTCCTTTCTATGACACTTGGGACTGTTTCCTCTCTCACCCTCAGACGTCTCCCCCCTCTGACCCTGCTGAGGTTTCTTTCTCGGACTCTGAGAAATTTCTTGGTTCCTTGCTTTCTGATCCTGAGGCTCCTCCTCTCTCTGACCCTGTGGGGTATCTGTCAACAGTTTCTCAAATTCTTCTCTCTCCTGGACCAGGCCCTCAGGGGGATCTTGGGTTTCCGACAGACCCGAGGATTCCTGGACTCCTTGAGCAAGCTCTTTCCCGTGGAGACGCCTGGATGGTGGTTGATGGAACCTCTGGGTTTGAGGCTCAATTTGGGTCCTGACTTCCGGCTGGGCCAGGTGCTGGGAAGGAAGAGTACTTAGAGAATTTTCCTTAAATCCTCCTGAGGGATTCTGGTTCTAGAGCCACTTTCTCCAGCAGAGCCTGGAGACCCCAGTAGCTTGGACTTCTCAGTGTGCCTCACCTTCCATTATACCCCTGGATTCAGTAAACCCATTTTATGTGATGTCAAAGGGGCTTCAGCAGTGGTGCTGTCTTCCCTCTGAGGAGAGGTGGCCATGATTCACCTCATCCCAGCATCCCTCACCCAGGCAGACCCCAGCCCTGCTATCCCCTATCAACCCTTTCACCTTCAACTCTGAGTGTCTCAGCTCCCCAACGGTCCTGCTGGTGGTGAGGTCCTGATCCTGTAGGCAACCTAAGGGAGAAAGAGCAACGTTTGGGAGACTCCCTGCTCATGCCCCTCCCCTTCCCAAATTAGCTTTCACCTGAATTGGAATCCAGGAAGTAGGTGAACTGAGGGCGTGTGCTTGAATTCAAAGTTGGTACAATTCATGCCACCCTTCATTCACACAACCTGCCACATGCCTGCTTGTCAACTTGACCTGCCAATAGTCAACTCCATCTTTCTCATCCTCTCACCCAGAGGAGCCAGCATACCGTCTTCCCCAAAGTTGACACTGGGTGCTTGGGAGTGGGAGGTCCTAATTGCTGAACTTAGCATAAGGACATCCCACTTTGACCAGGTGGGCCTGTTCCAGGCAGAAGATACTCAGTGTATACACCCTGATTTACTTTGTAAGGAAAACCCTCATTGGCCCTTTCCTTGTTTTACATTGAGAGTAAAATCCCATGAGCTTTAAGGCTAGAGTCTGTCCTAAAATCCATGAGTCTTCATGATTAACAAAAGGAACGTAATAAAAAAATGAGAACAGAACAAGCCCCCTATAGCTATGCAGATTGGAGCGTTATGTCTGCAGCCATAAAACTCATTACAAGAACCTGAGTTCATCAGGTCTTAAATTGAGAGCTTTCACACAGAATATTTCATCTTGTTGCATGGAGGGGATTATAATCATTGAGATGAAACAAAGTATACTTTGTTTACTGTAAAGCTGAAGATCTTGTCTATAAATCCTCACTGAATCCACAATAAAATGTTAGGGGGGGAAAACCCTAAAATACATCTCCTTAGAACTTGCACTCACTGGTTCTTGTTTTGATTAATCTAAGAGGTTCTCAATTAAGCTAAATTCCCTTCTTAAAAAAAAGAGAATATTTATATTTTATCTTGTTCTCTTATGCAATAGAGATATAAGAATATCCATAAAAGTTACTAAATGGATCTGTTCTCTGAGAAAATAAATCTGTCTTTTGAAGAGTTTGTTTTTTTTAAATAAAGAAGTCTAAGGACTCCCAAGACTTTGCCAAGAACTGGAAATAACCTTCAGCTGCCCCATCCCATGATCCAGTCTGTTGTCTTACCTCTTTTTGATTTCTCTGATAGTAATGTCCTTGATATCTCTGTAATCCCCCAAAATAAAAATACTTGTAAATTTTTGTCAATCAGTGAATAGTCACTGGCTTACTCCTCTTCTCCCGTATAAATGATATAACAATTTTATTTTATTGTTGAGAATCTCCACAGCAAAACAAATACCAATTCAATAGTTTCTACGGGTATAATTTAGTTATACGGATGATACAATTTAGTTACACTGACAATACAATTCAGTTACACTGAGGACATTCTTCAAGCAGTGCAACCAATCTCATCCTTTTTTACTGGGTTGTTCCTCATTAACATAAACTCACTGAGCCCCTAAATTTTAATCTAATCCCATATGGTGGTTGTGGTGTGCTGTGGAGTCTGTTCTGACCCATGTGACCCTGTATAGAGTTTCCAAGGCTGTAAACCTTTACGGGAGAAGAAAAGCTTCATCTTTCTCCCACAGAGCCGCTGATAGACTCGAACTGCTGACCTTGCAGTTAGCAGTCTAACTCATAACCCACTAGGCTATCAGGATTCCCTTGATCCCATATGATGGTGGTGGTGGTGATAGTTCTTAAAAGCATAAAGCTAAGGCAGTGCTTTTGGCATTGTTATACTCATTAAGCTAACCTACTGTTTGGTTTTAAGAAGTCTTCAGGAAGTGTTTTGGTTTAAGATTTAAAGATATTCCCAGGACAGTCATCTCCGCATGACTTTGAACCCATTCAACACAATTCAATAATTGCTGTCCTAAACAAGAGCAGCATGAGTGTTTCGTAGCAAACAAGTTGGTTGCCAGAAATATTTTGGCCTGTGTAGGAAACAAAGACAGCTGTGGCCAAGTCCAAAGATGGTGGCTAACCAACATTGGTTTGGATGTGTGTTGCTCTCCAGAGTCCTGCCAATAATTCAATCTCCTGCATCAGGCTCCTAAGACTTTCAGGAGGAAGAGCTCTGGGAGGATCTTTGGAGAGCAACACACGTTGAAAGCGGTCATCTACCGTGCAGCTACTGGTTTCTCCCTGTCCAGAGGAAAGAAGATTGATGCAAATTGAAGACGTTTGGAAACAATTAGTCCAATAGACTACATGGAACACATGAACATGTCTCCATGACCCTGAGACCAGAAGAACTAGATGTTGCCCGGCTACCATTACCAACTGCTCTGAAAGGGGTCACGGAGGTCTTGGATACACTGGGGGGAAATGTGAAACAAAACAAAATCATAAAAAAGACCAGACATACTGGTCAGAAAGAGACTAGAGGAACCTTGGAGACTGGCTCTTGGTCTCCCTTTAGAACTGAACTCACCTTGATGACTCGGTTTTCAGGCAAGAAGCAGAAAGGTATATAGAGGAAACAACTCTAGCAAGGTGTGCATACCATAGAATGACCAACCACTTGAGATCAATGGGGCAGCATTTGCCTAGGGACATAATTCAGGAGAAGGGTTGGGAAAGAAGAAAGACTAGAAATGGGGATCACAGGAAGGAGGTGGGAGAACTGGTTTGAATGGAGGGAAGGACTTGACTTGTAGAATGTAAAACTGTAAACTTCACTCAATTCACAATATAAAGCTAACAACAACAACAACAAAAAGTTCCAAAGCTCAAGCCCCATCACATTCTAATTGCCTATTTATTGTCACTCTTAGGAGCTGTGATCTCCTATTCTCTGATTATCCCAGTGCCTGGCACAGGGGGCAAAGGGGGCATGAAGCTGCTCCTTCCCCCTTTAGCCCTGGGAGGGCATGGACAGTCCTTTCTGACACCTCCTTCCCTGAGTTTCATTGTAGCTAAAACCAGTCCAGTGAAATTGGCACATCAGATAAAACCTCCTTGCCATTTCTGGGTCCCCCAGCACTCTAGAAAAGTGGGCAATAAAGAATGCATGAATTTGGCCTTGGGGTGACTTCCCAGCTTCCCCCAGTCTAGTCTAGCTACCCTAGGCCCAAGGACTCTCTGCCCTCCTGGCTGTCTGCCCACTCCTCCAGACAACATACCAGGTGTGGGCCCTGCAGGTGTGCCCAAGCTCTCCTCACTTGGGTCCACATGGCTCCTGACTTCCTCCAGACCTGAGGATGCTGATAGACTGCTCGCCTTCACCCTGCAGGAGCACAAAGGCTGCCCCAGCTGAGTCCCTCGGGCTGTGGGCTCTGAAGTGGGAGGAGCCTGACTTCCCCTCTCCCTAGCCCCAGCAGGCTGCAGAGTCTCCCCCATCCTAACGCCAGACTCTGAGCCAGGGCAGTCTCCCAGCCCTTCCCCCATCCCTGGGTTCTGGAAAATTGAATTCAGGAGTCACTTTTTCCAGGGACAGAGGGACAAGCACTGTATGAGGGCTCAGGGGGCACCCTGAGGCAGGAGGGGGGCACTGGGTGAGGTTGTGGAAAGGGACAGAACAGGGTCTAATGCTTGGCCACTTTGTGTGGCAACATGGAGGTCGGGGGGTCTGTGCACAAGATTCCAGAGAGAAGACTTACCCCTCTGGCAACTGATGGTCCTGGTTCAGGGAGTCCCCAGTCTGGAGCAGAGGGCACAGCCTGGAACTCTGGAAGGTTCAGAGGTGCCCCCGTCTACAGGGGGGAAGGCAGCCTCCAAGAGATCCCAGTGGCCCCTACTTCTGGGTGTCAATGCCTTTATATAACCCCTGCCCCACCACCTTGTGAATTCGCCTGGAAAGAGATCCCTCCTGCCTGGCTGATCCTTCAGATGAGACTGCAGCCCTGGTCAGCAACTTGACTTCAGCCTCATGAGAGATCTAGAGCCTAGAACCGAGCCACTCGTGGATCTCCATCCCACAGACACTGTGACATATGAAACATTTGTTTTAAACTGCTAAGTTTCAGGATCATTTGCTGCAATAGATAGCCAACACCCAGGAGCAGAATTCCTGACCTCTGACCACCCTTCATAACACTCCTGACCCCTTAGGCCAATCTAGAGAAAGAGAGCCCCCTTTCTGGCACTACTCTAGTGGGGAAGCTCCATATTGTCAATGTGGGCTGGGCACTTCCTTAGTGGTCTCCACTGCCATGCCCTTCTGCCACCGATCTGATCTGCCCTAAGTGATTCCTAGTTCCCAGTATGTTCCCTCCAGAAGGGGTCAGTCCAGGCCAGTCCTGAAGGAGGGACCGGTTTATGTCTGTGTCCCAGGGACACCCTGGGCATCAGTTTTTCTGGGATGCTGCCAGGCCTATTTCTTTCCAAGCTGTAAGATAAAAAAAAAAAAACAATAACAAATAAACCCATTGCCACAATTCTGACTCCCATGTGTTAGGGAGTAAAGCTGCTCCACAGAGGTTGCTTGGCTGTAATCTTTACAGACGCTGATCACCAGGCCTTTCTTCTGTAGCACTGTTGGGTGAGTCCAAACTGCCAACCTTTAGGTTAGTTTGTTGTTGTTGTTAAGTGCCATCAAGTTGGTTCCGACCCATAGCGACCCTGTACAGGGTTTCCTCCTTTAGGTTAGTAGTTGAATGCAAATCGTTGGTGCCACCAGCCCTGTCTTCTCAGGTGTCAACCCACAGTTGCTTCTGCCCCATGGAGTGACATTGATACCCATGGAGTGACAGCCACAGCCAGCACACAATAAGCAGGCGTTGTGGGCCAGGCCAGTGCTAACCTGTTACATTGATAAACTTGCCTCACCTGACCACCCTCTGAAGGTCTATTTCTGCAGCTGGGGGGTAGGGGACAAGGCCCACAGGGGGCATCCAAGACCTGAACCACAGCCATCTGGCTCCAAAGCCTGAACTTTCCCCACTCCCATCACTGCTGTGACCCACGATATCACACCAACCCCCGAATCCCTGCTCACCCCACTCAAAGGCCATTCAGAGTCCCCTCCTGTCCTGCCACACAGCTTGTCGTGCTGACTTGGGACACACTGGACCTGGCTCTTCAGGCCACAGACCTGGGCCCAAGGCGGCCAGAGGAGGCCCAGCCCTGCCCCAGTCAGCAGCTCCAAGTCCCACAGGAGCTGCAAGGAGATGGGGTGCCAAGGTGAGAGGGGCACCCACCCTGCCCTTGACCGCAGCCCCAGGCAGACCTACCTGCTCCCAGGCCTGCCGCCTCCGCTCCATCTCCAGAAGTACTGTGGTCAGCTCCAGCCACTGGGGGCAGCCCCAGCCCTCCTGCCCCTGAGGGAGACTGTGCACCCCAGGTCTCCCATGCCGCAGCACAGCCCAGAGCTGGCCCAGGCTTGCAGGGCACCGGAAGAGACGCTGGTACAAAGCCAAAGCCTGCTCATGGGTACAAGGGAGTCGTGGACCCCCAGGTGAGTCTGTCTGCTCCATGGGGCAGGGGCCAGGGCAGATGTTCCCTCCCTTTAGTTGCCACTGGAACCAGGAGAGGGGACGAAGAGCAAGAGCTGAGGCTCAGAGCTAGGAGGAGACAAAGGCTTTGGGTCTCAATAATGCAGCACCGGACACCTGAGCCTCACTCTGATATGGGTTTCGTGACTCGGGGTGGGGGTGGGGGGCCAGTGGCGGAGTGTGATCCTTATATAGAGGAGTGTGTATGTGCGCATGTGTGCGCATGCACTTTGCAATCTCAGTTGTGCATCTGTCGTACACATCAGTTTGCAGCTGCATTATATGGGGGTGTGATAATAACACAACAAAAACAGCTGCCGATGGCCAGGACACCAAACACTATACACATATCATTCTGTACAACAATGCCACAAAGCAGTTACTCCGATTACCCTTATTTTGCAGATAAAACAGCTGAGTTCCAGAGAGTGACTTGTCCAAACATGTGGCGATGTTTCCCTCACTGGAGGGCAGATGGATGTGATAAACTAGCTCTGGGACAACATGGGACAGGGAGCTTAAGTCATTCCATCACCAGAAAGTTAGGAACTGCAGTAACCAGCATTTGTCCCAGGTACAGGCTAGTCCATTTCTTCCTCATGAGATGCTTGTCACCACTACCTCATTTTACAGGTGAGAGGACACTTTATGCAAATTTTAATAATGAGCGGGGAGGAAGACATGAGATGGTCTACAGTCTGTCCTGTGTTGTTATGAGCAACTTTGCTTTGTCTGCTACGTGTAGCAGTTCGATGACAGATAAGATGACCTGACACAGAAAGAGCATGTCGTCACCAAGATGGAGCAGAGAGCAGGGCCATCTCTAGCTAAACATGACATTCTCTTACTTAAGGACACGCATGGGGACACTTGTGGTGGGTGGTCTCTCCTGGAGCCCTGAGCCTTTTATTCCTGTGGAAATATCATGGGCCTGCCAAAGCCGAGGGAGGCCCTAATGCTATAGCTGGTTGTTGTTGTTGGGCGCTGTTGAGTTAGTTCTGACTCATAATGACCCCATATGCAACAGAACAAAACATTTCCCGGTCCTCCACCCTCCCCACCGTTGTTGCTGTGTTTGAACTTATTGCAGTCACTGTGTCAACACGTCTCCTTAGGGATCGTCCTCTTTACCAAGCATAATGCCCTTTTCCAGAGACTGGTCCCTCCGGATCACATGACCAAAGGATGTGAGATGAAGTCTTGCCATCCCCACTTCTAAGGAACATTCTAGCTCTACTTCTTCCAAGGCAGTTTTCTTTGTTTTTCTGGCAGTCCATAATAATGTGATATCAACCTTCTGTGCCAACACCATCATTTTATATCTAAGGTCCCTAAAACACCAAACTCACAGAGCCGGTAGGTGACAGAAAGAAGACTCACATTCTGGACTGTTTTCTATTTCAAAACCCATGCTCTTTCCTCTGTACTGAAGTCTTCGTAGCCTGCACATGTGTCTACTGTCCCCACCCATGGCATGGCAGTGTGGACATGTGTGTGTTCACCATGTGTCTGGACTCTGTCATAGCTTCTTGTCTGGCTCTGTCCCTATCTCTCAGGCACGTGATCCTTGTATCACCAAGTATCCAGGAGGTGTGTGAACACACAGCACCCCAAACTAACAGGAAAGGAGTACCCCACATGGACTGATCCCTTGTTTATGATTCCTGGCAGAATCCCACATGGAAGCCCCAAGCACAGGGCTGGGACCAGGATACCTGTCTCCTTCTCAAGCAATCTGTTTGTTGTACGCTTACTGGTATGGCATTGGGGGGGCGGCGGGGGGGACAGCTTAGTGGTACAGAGAGGAGTGAGCAGGTCCAGGAATGAGCCCCTTCTGTCTTCACCTCCGTCTCCAGGAACTCTAACTGCTGGGACCCAAGGGCCCTCACCCCCACTCCAGGCGGAAACACACACACACAGGAAACTTGGGGCAGATTTAGAGTTTACAGTTTATGACTCAACACATGGGTACGTTTCCGGACACGGCCCAGACCCCCAGTATTGGGCTGGGAGACTTCAGGCCAAAGAATCCTAATCAGGTGTCTTCCTGGCTCAGGACTCCCCCTGTGGTTCCCTGCTGGTTGGCAGGACCCCAGTGAGCAGGACTTGGGGGCAGGCCTTAGGGGAGATACAGTGGGCCTCGTGCTCCACCAGGCCTGCCGGACACTGGCAGCCGGGCACGCAGGGCCTCACACAGCGGATGGACAGCTCTCCCAGGGGGACATGCTGGTTGAAGCAGGTGCGGGGACAGGGCGGGCCACATTCATCGAACACGAAGCCACGGTCCAGGGGGCAGCCCACCACTGCAGAAGAGTGGAAGGGGTCTCAGAACCACTGCATGCCCCACACTCCAGGGTTTCCCCAAGCCTACCCTGTCCAGATCTGAACCCCAGTTCCCTTCCCCCCGTTTGTCCCTCATTGCCCCTCACCGCAGAGTGTGGGGCCCCGCCAGGCAGGCGTCACTCCAGCCTGGCGACAGTGGCTGGCATAGGCTTCCAGGGCATCACAGAGGCAGGCATCTGCCAATGGGCCTGGGCCACAGGCACAAAGGTCATACACACAGGCAGCAAAAAAGGGCTCTGGGGGCACCACGGCATGGCATCGACGGAATGGAGCCGACTTCAGCACTGCACACCGGGCATTGGCCTCACGCCGGGCACGGTAGCCCGCTGCCCGGCACGGATCCACCTCTCGGCCTCTGGCACAGGGCCGGCTTGGCCCGGGTCCTTCAGGGATCTAGCCGGGGAGAATGATGCAACAGCACCCCCTGGAGGTCATGTGAGGCACTGACCTTTGTGTGCTCGGATCTTCTAAGCACTTGCTTCAGCCGCAGATACCTCCCTCCAAGACTGGAAGCAGTCTATCTACCTTTCCTTTGTTCCCATTTTACAGACGGAGTCAGTGACTTGTTCAAAGTCACACAGCCAGCGTGTGGCAAAACAAGATTTAGGCTTGGGAGGTCAGGGGGAATCTTCTAAAAGACAAGGGGTCCTCCAGACCACCCCAATTGCCCAAACACCATCTTGGGCCTCCATTCCATTTCAACTGGCTGCTGGAGGCTTCAGCGTGACTGTGCCAATGCCCCTCATTGTGCCCACTCACCTGCCAGCTATTCCCAAACGCAGCCTCCGTGGGGAGAAGCAGCTCTGAGGGACCCCGCAGGTCATCCTGGGCAAAGCCGTTGAAGTTCCCACAGAGCCCACAGGTCTGGCCCCGGTAGGAGCCAGGTACCCTCACCTCCACCTGGGACTTTCCATCCCACAGCACCTGTACAGAGAGGCCTGGGGCTGGGGAAGGGGAGGGATCCCAGAAGCCCAAGTCCAGCATGGTCCCATTTGCCATGTCAGTACACACATGCTGGGGAGGAGTGTGTTGTTGTTATGTGCCGTCGAGTCGGTTCTGACCCATAGCGACCCTGTACAGGGTTTCTGAGGCTGTAAATCTTTACGGGAGCAAAAAGCCTCATCTTTCTCCCGCAGAACAGCTGGTAGTTTCGAACTGCTAACCTTGAGGTTTGCAGCCCGATTTGTAACCATTACGTTTAATTGTTAGGAGTCTCTTAATTGTTAAAACTCTGGCTGGTTCAAATGGTAAAGTGTTGGACTGCTAACCAAAAGGTTGGTGGTTCAAACCCACGCAGAAGTACGTCAGAAGACACATCTAGTGATCCGTTTGTGAAAAGTTCCAGCCTTGAAAACCCCGTGGAGCAGTTCCACTCTGCACACATGGAGGCGCTGTGAGTCAGAATGGAACTGGCAAACCACCACCACCATCGGTTTAGTTGAGGAAAGGGTTGTAGCAGATAACTCTCCTATATAGGAGCTCAAAGGAATCTTGGAGACTTGGTTAATACCTCCCCCACTGACTCTTCCCCCATTTTATAGATGAGAAAACTGAGGCTCCGAGAGGGCTGTGACTGGCCTGAAAGTAGCTGAGTCACGAAACACCAGCCTCAAAACTCCTCTGCAAGCCTGGGAAGGGGCGCGGAGTCTCCTAGAACTCTCTCATCTCCCCCGAGGCCCTGGAGGGAGCTAGTGCCTCCATTCCCACTCAGATGTTGAAGCCCAAGCCTGTGGTTCCGAGAGCCCCAGCTCTGCCCACCTGGCGCCCCACGCACCTGGAGCCCTGACTGGGCGTGCAGGATCACCGTGCGGGCCCGCAACTCCACGTATACCAGTGACTCCCGCAGGAAGGGCAAAGCCTCGGGGTGCCCATCTACCTGGAGGAAGAGGGACGCGAGGGGTCACGTCAGGGACAGGTCGCACGGCGTGGGACCCACCTCCCCAACCCGCCGCGCCTCACCGTGACCGCCCCGCCCTGCAGCAGCCGCACCACCAGGCTTCCCAGTAGCACAGCCACCTCCTGCGTCCAAGACACGCCGCTCCGGCCACGGTCATCGTTGGTCACGTGGACGCTGTGGGCGCCAAGGTTCAGCAGAGAACGAATTACGGGGTCCAGAAGAAGGGCCCGGGGGAAGGGGGTGCCCACCTGAAGTCCCCTCCGCGGCAGTCCTTGGCCAGCACGTAGCTGCAGCCGCCCTGAAAGTGCAGCAGGCGGCCGTCGAAGGTGCGGTAGTGCGGGTCTCCAAAGGCCATGCAGGAGGCGGGTCGGGGCAGGCAGCGCGGGCAGCAACTGCCGGGACTCAGGGCGGGGGCCTCGTCCTGGCCGGGCCCCGGACCGGGTCAGAGACAGGCTTTCCCGCAGACCCGCGCAGACCCTACGGAAGGACCCATGACAGCCCGGGACCCCCGGGTCTCCACGCCACATTCCCAGGCGGGCTGAGAGCAGGGCTGGGGCGCCATCTGGTGGTCGCGCTGGGAATCGCACTGTTCCCGATCCGGAGTCCCACCCGGTGGGCAGTGCCACCCCCAAACTGGCCCGCCGCCCGCCGCACTCACAGGGCCACAGGAAAGCGGCGGGCAGCGCTGACTCTGGCAGCGCACGGTGCCAGCCACGCAGGAGCAGCTGGTGCAGGAGTCCACGGTCCAGCGCTCCCCGGAGGCGACTTCCCGGCCCTGGTGTACGCACGACGGAGCAGGGGCTGCAGGGAGGAAGGAGGGGAGCGTCCGCGGCTGCCCGGCTCCTTGGGCCTCCCACCCCCATCCCACCCGTCGTCTGGGCAGCACCTTGGCATCGCTCGCAGCAGCTGCCGTCCTCGCGCACCTGCACCCAGCCTTTGGGGCAGGTGAGGGTCTGGCACTCCTCCAGGTGACATTCCACGTGGCCCATCTGGGGACAGATGGCCTTGCTCTGAAAATTTCTTGTAAGTCCGGGGGCGGGGTCCCTGGCCTCACAATACTGGGGGCTCCTTGGTCCAGGGCTGAGGCAGCAGCCCGTTGTCTCTCTGCCCCTGCCCACCCTTACTTCATGTTCTTGTGGGCCAGGAAATCTAGCCCAGCTAGGCTGGCTCCTCAGCAGAGGAGGGCATCTTTTCCTAATTATCTCCAAGACCCCTTTGTCATAGAGGCCCTGATCACCCCTCTCGAGTCCATTTACAAAACCACGTTCATTCCCAGCTTACCCGGCAGCTGCAAGTGATGCAGGTGTTGCTGGGATCCCGCCAGCTCTGCCCATCTGCCACACGCAGACCCTCGGCCTCCACCACACATTCTGAGAGGGGAAGTGGGCATGGGAAGAGCACTGTGCCCACTGGCCAGCCCCCAGCTAGGTTAGAGTCCCGGCCGCCTTCTTCCTGCCTCCCTCTGTTCACCACAAGTCCCTCCCCCATCTCTGTAAAGGCACAGAGCCCAAGCTGCCCATCTCCCGTCTACCTCAGACTCTGAGGGTACTTACCCCAGCACAAGGGGCAGCAGCTCCCAGGGGGTGTATGGCGCTCTGATGGGGGACAGCTGAGCTCAGGACAGGCTTGGTGAATGCAGAGCCATGTTAAGTCCTGAGGGGCATGGGGACCCCAGGAGTCAGAGGGAGTCAGTGAGCAGGGCAGAGACAAAATCTGAGTGATGAGGAAACTTGGGAGAGGAAGGATCTTTGGGAGTCCACAGGCCTGGGGGCTCACCTGGCACTGGCAGGTGTAGCAAGGGTCTGGGGGAGCCACCTCAGACCCCAGCAGGCCCTCTGTGCAGTTACTCAGCGCTTCTGTACAGATGAAAATGTAGGGGTGAGGAGGTAAGTGGGAGTAGGATTGAAAGTCCAGCTGTCCTCAGACTTCTTGGGCCCCAGGTATGCACACAGCCCTAGCACATTTTGTTCTGAAAGCAATGTCCTTTGTCCTTAAAGAAACATTGGGGACTTAGCCACAGAGGGCAAGAGCTGAGAGTGAAGCATCCAGTTGATATGAAGTGAGGGGAGATGGCACAAGAACACCCAAACCTAGCCTCGACGGCTCAATAATCAGAACTCGACTAGAGGAAAATTGCAAAAAAACAACAAAAAAAATTTTTTTTGATAAAGGAAACAAGGGTAAATTGCTTCAATTTGATGAACCGGACCTATATTCAGAGCGAGAGTTACTCTAAATACCAACAGAGAGGGAAAGAGTCTTCACATCAAGTATCAATGCTATCTCCTCTGTACACAGACAAGGTAGATAGGGACGAGCAACTTAGACATTGGCTACCTAAAATGAGGGGGCAATAAAGGCACAAAATGACTGACTTACAAGGTTTCAAGAGGGAGTTTAGTTTAAGAGGGTGGGGGGAAAGAAAGAGGCCCTACTGAATAGCTGTCATCTTGTCTAGATGGGTCTGGTGAAAAGAGATGGCGATAAGTTTCCTAAGATTCAATAGTGAATAACTGTTACTATGACTAATTGCGACTGTCAAAATTGTAAAGGTAGAAATTTTGTAACAAAAAAAAGGGGAGTGGTTAATCTTACAGTCCAAAAACAGAGGACCCTAGGACCATCAAGAGAGAAGCGCACAAGCAGAATGCGGGACCTTATCCAGAGAAGCAGTGCCAGAGATGGAGGCAGAAATGGGAGGGGCATGAAGAGGGGGAGAGGCTGAGGACTAAGAAGAGAGGGACTAAGAGCTGGTGGCCAGGAGGCAGACTTGGAGAATGTGCCCTTTGGAGATGTAAATTATTATATATGCCTGAGTGGTTTTTTTGTTTGTTTGTTTTAAAAAAGTAGATAGAGAGAAATACTGTTAACTGATGGTACATGGAGGGGATTATAATCATTGTAATGAAACAAGGTGTATGGTTTGTTATGTAAAACTGATGATCCGCCCTGTAAACTTTCATTCAATCCACAATAAAAACCTTAAATAAATTTTAAAAAAGAAACGTTGGTAGATTATTAAGACCCTAAACCAAACCTGTTACCGTGGAGTTTTTTCCAATTCATGATGACCCATGTGTGTCAGAGTAGAACTGCACTAAGCAGTATCTTTCAGAAACAGATTACCCGGTCTTTCCTCCAAGGCACCTAAGGGTGAATTTAGGGGCTGCCCTTTCCCACTTCCTTTTTACTGTTTGCCTGAAACAGCACAGGGAAGCGCAATCCTGGATCCAGCACCCAGTGTCTGTGACGTTTTGGGCAGTCTAAGTAACCTCTCTAAGACTCAGTTTCTTCATCTGTAAAAAGGGACTAACAATAGCTACTTCATGGAATCCTTGAGAATTAAACAAAATGCTGCTTGGTAAACGCACCAAGCACAATCTGTGACATACCAAATCCCACCCAGCGCCGCCGAGTAGATTCTGACTCATAATGTTCCTATACAGAAGCCCTGAAAGCATAGTGAGTTATGTGTTGGGCTGCTAATCACAAGGACAATAGTTCTAATCCACCAGATGCTCCACAGAAGAAAGATGAAGCCTTCTGCTCTGGTAAAGTTTACAGCCTTGGAGACTCATCTCTTCTACTTTGACTCTATTGTTAGGGAGAGACTGATCTCCGGAGAAGGACATCATGCTTGGAAAAATGGAGGGTCAGCGAAAAAGAGGAAAACCTCCAACGAGAGGGATTGACAGTGGCAGCAATAATGGGCTCAAACATGATAACAATTGTGAGGTTGGCACTGGACTGGGCAGTGTTTCGTTCTGCTGTGCACAGAGTCACTGTGAGTCAGAACCGACTCAACAGCACCTAACTACAGTGCCTGGTGGCACAATGTTTAATTGCTCGTCTCCTAACCAAAAGTTGGTGATTTGAACTCACCACCCACTCGGAGGGAGAATAGACTCGACAGTCTCCTCCCATAAAGATTAAACCCACTGTTGGCAAATAGGTTCCAATTTACAATGAGCCTGGAGAACAAGGTAGAACTGCCAATAGCGCTTCTGAGGTTGTAATCTTTGTGGAAGGAGACCACCAAGTTGTTCTCCTATGGCACGGCTGATGTGTTTGAACTGCTGGCCTTTTGGTTAGCAGGTGCTTTAACTGCTGTGCCAGTAGGGCTCCTCCCATAAAGATCGGATGCAGTTCTAGTCTCTTAGATAGATGGCTGTGAGTTGGAATCCACGTGACAGCACACAGTCCTCCCAGGACTCACCGGCACAGGTAGGGCAGCAGTGATGAGGCCCAGGAGACAGGAGCTGGCTGGGGGGGCAGCCCACCAGGCTAGGGCACTGCCTGTGGTGACAGCGCAGGCTAGGGGGGCCCTCAGGCTGTAGCTACAAGAAGGATGAGTAACAGGGGTGCGTCTCCAGTCATGGAGCCAAGAGCTCCCCTCTTCCCTGGACTCCAGACCCTCCATCTGCCTGCTGCACCCCTCCCTAGACTTGCCTTCACCCTATATCCTAATCCCTGAAGAGGGTGCCCTTTCCTCCTTCCAGACTCATGTGACCTTTGACCTTCCTGTACTCTTTTACCCAAGGCCACACCTTCCTCCCCAACCCCACTGCCTAGCCTGTGCTGGGGTGATTATGTGCCATGGAGACGGTTCCAACTCACAGCGACCCTGTACAGGGTTTCCGAGGCTGTAAATCTTTACGGGAGCAGAACGCCTCATCTTTCTCCCGAGTCTGTGCTATAATCTGCCTACTCCAAATCCTCCTACAGCTCCAACACCTTTCAAAAACTGGAAAATTCATCTTCCACAATATCACCCCACCCTCTTCCCAGGAAGCCCCCCAGTCCTTCCCAACCTATGGCCACTGTCCCTCCCCCTACCACACACACACCTAACTCCAGACCTCCTGGCCCTATACCCCAAGTCCTGCCTCACCTCTTGGCCACAAGGCTACATCCTGTCTATGACCCCATACTGCTTCACTGTCTCCTCCCTGCCCACTGATGACCCCCAGCCCATATTCCCCTGAGCTTCAGCCTCACCCCACCTCACAGATGCACACTTCACAGGGGTCTGCTCCAGGCTGGAAGCTCTCCCCTGGCTCATACTTCCGGCCTTTGTGCTCACAGTCTGGGGGGTTAGAGGAAGAGAGGGTCAAGGCCAGGAGTCTTCAGGTGGGCAGCATTGTTAGGGCATGAGTCTTCCAAGCAGCCCCAAGAGAGGTGGGGGCTAGTATAAGAAGGGGGGTGTCTTCCTGGACAGTGTCTCTGCAGCTCAGCCCCACTCTGAGGGACTCTAACCAGGACAAGGCAGGAGGCTAGACTGGGGCAGAGCCAAGTAGGGGCTGCCTTCCTGCTCTCCCTCCCCCACCCCAGTTCCCAGTACCAGGGCATCTTGGGCAGCAGTCACCAGGCCCCTGGCGGGGCTGGGCACAGGAGCTGACACACTGGATGCGGGCACAGGTGGCGACACCCTCGTGACACATGCAGGAGGAGCAGGGGTTGTCTGGGGGCACCCAGCTGCTGCCTTCAGGGTGCTCCTCCCTGCCAACCATGCATCCTGCAGACCATGGTGGAGAAGAATTGGCTCTGAGTCTCAAGTCCCACCCTGGTAGCCCCCACACTGGTCAGCAGGGGTTGTGGATACCAGAAGAGGGTACACAGGGATATAGTGGGAAGCGGGGTGGTGGATACCAGGAGGGGGGACGTAAGGGCTGAGCTCTGGTCCTGGCTCTTGGTGGGTGCTCATCATTGGTAATGAGGTGGGTTAGGGAGGGGCCAGCTTTGAGGAACCTATCACTAGTACCAGGGAAGATGATCCAGGCAGATGGGGCAGGGAAGGGCTGAGGTGGGCAAGGGAGGAGCTCAGGTGCTGTGGACAAGGGGTCTAGAAAAGGGCAGAGGAAAGGGAATCGCAGGGTGCAGGGTAGCCCCAAGGGGTAAACATACCTCTGCAGCGAGGGCAACAGACCCCCGGGTCTGTGACCTGCAGCGAGCAGGGCAGAGGCGGGCACTGCTGCCGCACACAGCTGACCTGGCCAGCCTGCAGGAAACACGGAGTCAGCGGCCACTTCTCGAGACCCCCAGCCCAGCCCCACCCCATCCCCACTTCCCACCGGCCACCTTCCTACGATACCTGACAGTGACACCGCTCACAGCTGTCCGTGGGACCCTCAAACTCCTCCCCATCCTGGTGCTCCCGGCCCCCTGAGAAGCAGCCTGTGGGGACACACATCCTGGGTGGGGGTAAGTGTCCCACCCTGCCCCACCCAACCTCATCAAGGAGGGAGGGAGTAGGGGGTTATCAATTGAACTGTGTCCCCCAAAAAAACATGTGCTGGAATTCTAACCCTGTGCCTACAGATGGAATCTTGTTGGGAACAGGGTTGACTTTTGAGATATAAAAAGAGCATATTAGACACAGAGAAGTTGGCACAGTGGAGGAAGGCTAGCTGCCACGTGGAATGGTCACAGAACCAAACAGCACGGGGGCTAGAGAAGCGAAGACATGGATCCCCCACTCCTCAACAGCAGACAGAGAGAGCCAAGACACGGATCCCCCCACCCTCAACAACAGACAGAAAGAGCCAAGACACGGATCCCCTCACCCCTCAACAACAGACAGAGAGAGCCAAGACACAGATCCCCCCACCCCTCAACATCAGACAGAGAGAGCCAAGACACGGATCCCCCTAACCCTCAACAGCAGACAGGGAGAGCCAAGACACGGATCCCCCCATCCCTCAATAGCAGACAGGGAGAGCTTTCTGAAGCTGGTGCCCTGATTCAGACTCCAGGCCTCCTAAACTTGAGAAAATGAAATTTGTTTGATAAAGTCCCCCACTTGTGGTAGTAATTGTTTCTGGTATAGCAGCCCTGTAAGGAGCTCTGGTAGCGTAGTGGTTACGAATCGGGCTGCGAACCTTAAGGTCAGCGGTTCGAAACTACCAGCTGCTCCGCGGGAGAAAGATGAGGCTTTCTACTCCTGTAAAGATTTACACCCTCAGAAACCCTATACAGGGTCGCTATGGGTCGGAACCGACTCAATGGCACATAACACCACACACACCATAGCAGCCCTGTATAACTAAAGTGGAGGCTGTGGAGACCCAGGGAGGGGTTTGGAGACTGGGCACGTAGAAGTTGCTCACTGCGGCAGACAGGGCAGAAGCAGGGCCCTGGAGAGGGCTGGGGGCAGGGAGCTGGGGGGCAAGGCTTCTTCTGGCAGCGCACGGAACCTTCCTGTGGAAAGAATTCACTCTGACGCTTCTGACCCCCTCATCACTTGACCACATCCTTAAATCAGGCTGCATTCCACTCCAGAGTAGGCACCCCTGCCTTCCTTCCTCAGCCCCAGAGACCCGGCCCTCAGCCTGACCCACGAGCTGTCACAGGCAGAATGTATGCCCTTGAGACTGGAGGACCTAGAATGAAAGGCTCCCAAGTGCCCAAATGAGCCCCCTCACCTGGCAGGTGCAGAAGGAACAAGTGGGGTCGAGTGGGTCAGGAAAAGTCTCTCCAGAGACTACGGTGGCCCCATGATAGAGGCATCCTGGGAAAGAAGGGCTGCCATGAACAGAACCCTTCCCCCACCCCCTCCCCACCCCATCCCACTACACACACAGCCAGGCTTGGGACTTCTACAAAAGCTTTGGGAGTCAGAGAGGAGATGTGTGTATTTGAGAAGGTAAAGGGTGGCCTGCGAAGGGACTGGAAGACAGAAGCAAGATAAAGAGATGGACAAATCCGTTACCATGAACTTTGACTCATAATCACAGGGACCCTAAGAACAGAACAGAGCTGCCCCATAGGGTGTCCAAGGCTGTAATCTTTATCGAGGAGTCCTGGGGTGGCGCTGGGGCGCTAATGTGTCAGACTGCAAAGTCATTTGAACTGCAAGGTCGGTGGTTCAAGCTCACCAGCTGTTCCTGGAAACGCTCTACAGGGTCACTATGGGTCAGAGTTGACTCAACAGCATACAACAACAATCTTTATTGAAGTGGGCAGCCTTATCTTTTTCCTTTGGGTTAGTAGCTACTCACTCAACCAATTATGCCACAAGGACTCCAGGATGCTGCTGCTTCGTGCCATCAAGTCGGTTCCAACTCAGTGTGACGTAGTAGAGGGTTTCCAAGGTAGTAAATCATTAGGGGAGCAGAAAGCCTTATCTTTCTCCCAGGGAGCGGCTGGTGAATTTGAACTGCTGACCTTGCAGTTAGCAGCCCCGTGTGTAACCGCTATGCTTCCACGACTCCTTAAAGGTGGACTAAAACAAAAAAACACTCAACCAAACCCAGTGTCGCTGAGTGGAAGGCGGAGTAGAACTTCCCCAGGCTCTCCAAGGCTGGAGCCCTGGCAGCATAGAGGTTACAAGCTGGGCTGCTAACCACAGTCAGCCGTTCAGATGGACCAGTGTGCAGCTGGAGAAAGATGAGGTTTTCTGCCCCTGTAAAGATCTGCAGCCCTGGAAACCCTATACAGAACTGACTCTGTGGCGCAAAACCTTGAGGAAGCTGACTGCTCATCTTTCTCTGTGAAGTGGTTGATGGGCTTGAACCACCAACTTTTCAGTTAGCCTTAACCACTGAGTCACCAAGGCTTCTAGAGATAGACCACCAGAGGTTTACTATCTGTGGGCCTAAGGGGTAGAAGGGTAGTGAGGAAAGGAAGTAGGGAGGATGGAGGCTGAGGAATCCCCAGGGGATGGTGAGCGATTTTGAACAGACAGTGGTATAAGAGAATTTAAGACAGGAAGGTCTGGAAGCAAAAGGACTAGTTCTTCGGTGACTACAACAACCGAGTAGGAGGAGACAGGGGACAGAGAGGACTCAGTGGGCGTGGTAGAAGACAAGTCTAAGAAGAAGTCCAGGGTGTGTATCTGTCTCAGGGCTGGGATGATGGGAACATGCTGGGAGGCTCCAGGAGTGGGTGCAAAGGTGGGGCTGTCCTACCTACCCTGGCAGGTCGGGCAGCAGTGCCCAGATAGAGTGATTGGGTGACTGCAGCTCAAAGGCGCACAGAGGCGATGGCTGCAGGTCACGAAGCCTCTAAGGCAGATGCACAGGCTGCAGGGCTCCTGGGGGTCCGGGAACTCCTGACTGCTCAGGTAAGACTGCCCCAAGTACTCACACCCTATGAGAGAGGAGAGAGAGGGAGCAGGAGAGCCAGAGCCATGAGAGGAGAGCAGTTAGGGGCTCCGAGTCTGGATCTAGCCCTAAGACCCGGCATCTAACCCAGACCCAGTGGGTAGAGCTGCCTGGGGTGAGGGTGGCTCTGTTGGACTTCTCAGCCTGTGTGAATTTCCTTGTCAAATCTATAGGGGAAATCCCACAAGAAACCTATCCAAAATGAGGATCTGGGAATAGTTCAGATGACTTTAGGGGTGTGGATGCAAGGTCCCCACATGCTCTTTCAAGTCTTCTGATTATTCCGTGATGAGGGAGGGGGTAGTAGAGGAGGGGCAGTCTGTCCATTGACACTCTGGCCCTTGTTGGCCAAGCCTTCAGGCTCAAAACCTTGGCAGGCAAAAGTATCTGACTGAAATTGAATATTATCTATTTCATTATATCCACTTTTATGATAATCAGCGATTCCTGGCAAACACTCCATTTCTAGTATAGGAAAAAAATTTCCTTTCTAAATAAACTTAAATGGAAAACTGAGTTGATTTAAAGAAAATATTAAATAAATAAAGCTACATGTTGTTGTTGTTGTTAAGTGCGGTCGAGTCAGATCCAACTCATAGCGACCCTAAACAGGGTTTCTGAAGAGCAACTGGTGAGCTTGAACCACCGACCTTGCAGTTCAAACAGCTTTGCAGTCTGGTGCATTAACCCACAGTGCCACACCAGGACACAGGTTGTTGTTGTTGTTGTTGTTGTTATGTGCCATGGAGTCGGTTCTGACTCATAGCGACCCTGTACAGGGTTTCCGAGGCTGTAAATCTTTACAGGAGCAGAAAGCCTCATCTTTCTCCCGTGGAACAGCTGGTAGTTTCAAACTGCTGACCTTGTGGTTCGCAGTCCGATTCGTAGCCACTACGCTACCAGGATACAGGTGGTAGAGGATATATAACAAAAATATAAGAAGCTCTGGTTCAGATCTTTTCCTTACAGAGGTTAAAATGAGACCCCGAGGTTATATAACCAGACCAAGGTCATATGGTCAAAGAGCATGAGAAGCAGGAGAAAATCCAGAGCTTTTTTGGGGGACTGTAATGAATATTTGAGGAGCACGGTGGCTCTGTGGGATAAGCACTGGACTACAACGACAAGGCCAGCTCTTCCAGCCCACCAGATAGTCTACCAGAGAAAGATGAGGCTTTGTGTTCCCACAGATTTAAACTGGGAAACCCCATGCAGAGTCCCTATGAGTGGGAACAGACTCCACAGCACTTAATGACAACAGTAATGATGATTTCAGAGCCCCCTGGGGCAACTGTGATGACGCTGCTGGTTGTTGCTGTGAAGTGCTGATGAGCTTGAACCACCGACCTTGCACCTTGCAGTTCAAACGGCTTTGCTGTCTGACGCATTCGCCCACAGCTGTGAGTTAATGGCAATTTGAACCATAAGGTTGGCGATTCAAGCTCATCAGCAGCTCCTCGAAAACCCTATACAGGGTCACTATGAGTCCGAACCAACTCAACGGCACTTAACAACAACGGGGCAGTAAAGGCAAAGCTGACACAGCCTCCTCACCATCACAGGCAGGGCAGCAGTCGCCGGACACTGTCCCCTCCCAGCAGAGGCAGATGTGACAAGAAGGGGAGCGCTCCCCGCTGGCCAGCTCCTTCCCCTGGTACAGGCAGCCTTGGGGGGGCGGCTAATGGGCTGGGGCTGCGGGCAGCAATGGTGTCTACTATGCCCACCACCTTCCAGGTCCTGCTGATTGGACACTGTCCCCCACGTCCTTCCTGTGAAGCCCTACGTGGGAGACGCTGGGCCTTGCGACGGTGGGGTGGGGGCAGGAGAAGGACGCCACGGGGTAAGGGAGGCCTCCGGCGGGGAGCTGTGGACAAGGGGTCCTGGCCGGCAGAGGGCATCGCCCTGGGAGTTACCATCGCAGGCGGGGCAGCAGGGTCCCTGGCGCGGGTGGGCGCAGGGCGCTGGCGGGCAAGGTAGCTGCTGGCAGGATACCGAGCCGTCGAGGCAGAGGCAGCGGCGGCAAGGGTCGTCAGGCGGAGAGAAGTGCTCTTGGTGGCGAGCGGGGGTCGCGCCCCCGGGCCGCTGGCAGTCGGCGTGGGCTGCTGCGGTGAGAACGCGCGCAAGGAGCTCGCGTCAGGGGCGCAGGGCAGGTCGGGGAAGGGAGGCCCAGGGAGAAGGCGCGAGGGCGCGGCTCCTACCCGGGCACTGGGGGCAGCACTTTCCGGGCAGCAAAACTGGCTCTGGACAGGGCAGCGGCGGGCAGCGGCGGGTCAGGCACTGCACGTTGCCGCTCTGCCCACGGACGAACAAATGGACGACGCCGGGCTGAGTTAACGCTGGGAGGCCGAGAGGACACCCCCACTACACCCTGCCCCCACGGCCGCGACTCCTCCCCAGCCCAGGTCACAGACTCACCAGACAGCGACACAGGCGACAGGGGTCCGAGGGGTGTGGGAAATCGGCTCCGCTGGGGTACTCCTTCCCGGCAAAGGTACAGCCTGGAGGAAGGGGCAACTATAGGTCTGGGAGAGAGCCCATCTTCCCTAGGGGATGCTGCCCCTTGGCCCCCAAAGCCTTTGGTACAGCCAAGCCACTGTATGAGGACTCCCCTACTCCCATCCCATCTACCCACCACTGCAATAGTTGTGGCAGCAGGTACTGGGGCGGCGGGTGGGCACACAGAGCTCTAGGACAGGCCTGAACCTGGCAGTGGGCATGGCCCTCCTGACATTGGCATTCCTGGCAGGGGTCTCAGGGATGGGAGAATCTCTGGCCATCCACAAACACCTATTTCTCCAAGACAGTCTGAGCAGCGGACATGGGGACAGGCCATAGGAGGCAGGAGGGACAGCCCCTCTCTCCTTGGAGTCCAGAAGCAGAGTGAACTACCCCCTGGAGGGGCTGTGTAAACACCTGTGCATGTGTGTGCACTAGGGTCTGTTTACCTTCAGGCATATGTGTACCTGAGTGTGATGTGCATCCCATGTGTATTCATGTGTTTGTGGTAGTACATTAGCATAAATCCAGTGCCTCAGGCCCCACCCAACAGACCCAGTGTCCGATGCATGAACTTGAGTTATACAGATATTGGAAGGGAAAATAGAGACAAATCTCTTGTTTCCCTCCTACCCCACTGAGCCCCAGAGAGGTCTGTGCTGGGTCAGAAGCCTGTTGTTTGGAAGATCTCATTGGATCAGCCCGACAGGCACTGGAAACACATACCTGGGCACCGAGGGCAGCACTGACCAGGGCCACTCTGGGGCCTGGCACAGGTAGTAGGAGGGCAGTCAACCAAGGAGCAGCTCACAGTCCCGTCCTGGAGCAGGAAGAGGGCAGTGGGGGTGGGGGGACAGCTTGGTGGTGCTATGGAATAGGCCACTGAAGAATTCATTGGGGCTTGGAAGGCAGAGCAGGGGATGGGGGGGTACCTGGCAGCGGCAGATATGACAAGGGCTGCCTGCGTCTGTGAAGTTCTGGCCGTTGGCATACACCTGGCCCCGGTAGGTGCAGCTCTCACAACTGGGACAGCAGGCACCTGAGAGGCAGGGGGACAGGTTGGTGAGAGCTGCAGGGCAAGGCAGGGAAGTAGTCTGGCTGGAGCAGGGACACTCACCAGAGGGCTGGGTGGGGTGCTGGCAGAGGGCCAGTGGGCAGATGAGTGCCCTGCACATAGGCACCCCACCTTGACAGGAGCAGGTAATGCAGGGCTGGCCATCCAGCTGCCACTGGATGCCATTAGCAAACTCCTCTCCCTCCACTACACAGGCTGCAAGGGTGAGGGGCTGTCACCAGGGAGCCCGAACACTCCTCACCACCCCTGCCCAGCCCAGACCAGACCTCACCATCCCCAATGCAGCTTCCTGTGAAGGAACAGCCCCCCACCTCCACCCACTGTGAAAGCAGTACCCATCTCAGTTAACCCTTCCCCACCCATACACACATGCACACCTACCTGAGCAGAGCTGTGGACCAGAGTCGGATAGGGCACAGGGGGCCACCGGGCACTCCTGATCCTCACAGGACACCTCGCCAGCCTAGAGGGGAGGCTGAGTGAGAGGCTCTGAAGGAGAGAGGCAGAGGAAGCCACCAGGCTGCACTTCCTACCTGACACAGGCAGCGGGCACAGCGGCCACTCTCTTGAGTTCTGAAGGCCTCCTGGTTCTGGTACTGGTGTCCTTGGAACTCACAGCCTAACAGGGAGGATGGGAGGGGGGGGAGCGAGGCACCTGGCTGGAGGCTGATGGGGAAGCCTCCAGACAGCCCAAAGCATCCTCCATCCTCTCCCTCACTACAAATACCACCTGTCTTCCAGGGGGCGCTGTGATCCCATTGCAGGACAAGGTGAGGATTACAAAGAATTTAGGATTACAAAAATTTTTTTCCAGATTCAGGTCCTGAGGACTTTGTGAAGGTCTAAGGGAGCAGACTGGCCCCTCCTTGAAAGTTGTCTCACTCACCATCGCAGACTGGACAGCACTGCCCAGGGGCCCTGCCTGGGTGTCTGCAGGGCACAGTTGGGCAGGGCAGAGGCTCACACAGGACACTTCCATTCTGCCAACAGGACCTGGTCAACAGCGGGCAGGCAGGCCCCAGCCATCCCTCCCAGCCAGGCAGCCCCACTCACAACGCAGTGGCAGTTTGAGCAGGTGTCCCCAGAGCCCACGGGCTCCCCACTGTGGTACTCCCGCCCATTTAGGAAACAGCCTGGGATGGGGACAAGAGAGGACCTTAGAGCCTCCTCAGGGTCCCCCTCACCACCCATCCTGGCCTTCAGGAGAGACCCAAACTGAGCCAGGCCAACAGCTTTTGGCCCCTGTGAATTGCCTCACAGACTCACCATCACACACGGGGCAGCAGGTGCCTGGGAGAGGCCGGGCAGGGTATGGGCACAGGCTGGCACACTCCCGCTGGTGGCACTGAACCTGGCCCTCCTGGTAGGGGGAGGTGGGCAGGGAGAGGGGTCATCAGGACTCAGTTAAGTGACAGAAAGAGATTTGAACCAGTTATTAAATTTGTAGCTGAGTGTGTTAAAGGAGCCCTGGGAGTGATGCAGTTAAAGCACTTGACTGTGAACCAAAAGATACAACCGTCTGTTCCGTAAAGATTACAGCCGTGGACACTTTATGGGGCAGGGTTACTGTGGATTTGGGGGGGAGCTTTTGGGGGAGGATGTGTTCCTTATGGAATCCAGTGTAGGATTAGCATTTGACTACAATGTTAGTTTGAACTGCAAGTTCAAATCCACCAGCCGCTCCTTGTAAACCCTCTACAGGGTCACTATGAGTTGGAGCCAACTCAGTGGTACTCAACAGCAAAATGTTCCTTAAGGGAAGTCCTGGTGTGGCACTGCGGGTTAATGCGCTGGACTGCAAGGTCGGTTGGTGGTTCAAGGTCACTCGTCAGTCGCTATGAGTTGGAACTGAGACTCCGTTGACTCATTTGAGGAAGGGGACAGTAATAGTCCTGTCCTCATAGGGCTGTTATGGGGATAAAATTAAGTAAGGTGTCCATGTGGCATCTACCTATGAAAGCTGATACTTCACAAACTGTAGCTGCTGATCCTCCCCAGGGCCTTTTCCAAAGTGCCCCCCGCCCCCACTGAATTCATACCTAAGATGTCTATGATATCCCTCAGCTCACTCAAATAAAAAACTAATAAAATAAAAATCCCAGACCCAGGATCTGAGGATGCTGATTTCAACATATAACATTCCATAAGAGGTCAGACTTGAAGAACTGGGCTTAACCTGGACCCCTTCTCTGGGCTAAAGGGAAAACTTACCACCACAGTGGGAACTTGTATTAGATCAAACTTACAGCTATAATTACAGGAGCTTTCTTTGTTCCTCTTATAGGTCAAAAGACCCCTGTCCTTGGAAATGGAATGTGTAAACATAGCTGGTAGCTTTTACAAACATACTTAAACAGGTTTGGGGCAGGCACATTTGAAGAGAACATTTAGGAAGGGCAGAAATCCTGTCCGTTTCTCACTTATGTATACGAGAGGCCGCTCTTTTCTGCCTCTCCACTCACTGTGGCAGAATTGGCTTTGCAATATACTAGGTATGATCCCATCTTTGGGTAACAAGTTAGTGTAAACAGGTTAAGTGTGAATGTCCTCCCCAACTATGTCTCTAGTTCTTCACAGGCTTCCATGTAGCTCTCTGACTTCAAATTGAGCCTCCATGAAACATGACCCTCCACGGGCCTATATGTGCCTACCTTCCTCCCTCAGGAACCTCTACTGTTCCTGGTACCAGAGTGTCTTCTTCCATTTCTCCCTGCTCAAAATCCACCCACCCCTATGGCTATATCAGCACCCCTCCTCCCTGAAGACTTTTCATATTTGTGCTGCCCAATAGCAAGCCATGAATATAATAAACTCTCAGCCAAGAGAGTCCTATGGAGCGAAGTTCTACTCCCTAACACATGGGGACTCTAACCCATGGCAATAGGTTTTGGGGTTTTTCCATCCCCCCAATTAATTTTAACATTACATTCTCTTTAACCCAAAATAATCCAAAAAATATCATCTCAACATATTATCAATATAAGAAACAATGAATGAACCTCAGCTGACCCCACCATGTTTCAAGTGCTCAGAAGCTAATGGAGTTCTGGCTCCTTTTCTCCCTTAGCCAGTTCACATCACAAACCCACACTTAGCACCTCGTTACTCAGAGCTGAGGATACAGGTGGGCCTTTGCTAGCTCACAGTACCTGGGACCAGGGTTTCTCCACCTAAGCCCTCCCTCTGCCTGTGGGATTCACTTGGCGGAATGGAGGGAGGAATATGGTGGGGTGTAGTTAAATGTTGTCGAGTTGGTTCCGACTTATAGCAACCCTGTATAGA